GAATTATATTATTATTAATTTCCATTTTTTTTTTAATTTTGAAATATTAAATTGAATATAAATATAATTCCGTACCAAACATGAATATACGAGTATATGGAGATGTTACAGTGTGTAAAAAGTTATTTTTGTCACCTTAGTAGGGTTGCCACAATGTCGCGAGTAAAAGCAAGATAAACCAAGTTATGCAAAATATATTAAAGGGTTTTCGGAAATCAAATGTTGATATCATATATTCTAAAAAAAGAACAAAAATCGAAATTTTCGTTTGAAATATGATTCTTTCTTCAGAGCGATTTCATAAACCTAGATAATTTGCAATAATTATAAACTGAAGAGAATATAATTAGTTTGAAAATTTTTATACTTGAGAAGATTATTATAATATATATATATATATATAATATAATATACATACAGCTGTCATACAAACTGAACGATTAAAATGAAGTTCTTGTATGGAAAACTTTTTTATTGGACGAGTTACCTTCACGAAATTTGGCACAAAATATCAAATAAAAGTCAATCTCCATACAAATTGTTCAAATCGCAGCATATAGCTGCCATTCAAACAGACCAATCAAAATCAAGATCAAAATCTAATAAAAGTTGTTTTTTCTTTATCAAGCAATCTTGGTTCGACTTTTAGGTTGTTTATAACAAATAATGTGGCTTGAAAGAATATTTCACAAGAAATGTTGGCAACTCTGCCTTTTGCGCAAAATATTTGCGCATATTGTGTAGCTTTGAAGGTTAGAGGGTTGCTTGTTACTTTCACATTTTAACCAATTTCCTGTGCATAATGCAATTTTCGTCTTTTGGCACGACTTTTACACGAGCAAAGTAGAATTAATCCTTTCTATAATTAACCAAGCACGTATATATGCAATTGAATTTTTCATCACTGCAATGGTTGAACGAGTTCACGGAAATATTCATAGTGCGCTGTCTTACTTTTATTGCTGGCTACATTACCACCATTCTATTTTACTTGTAATGAGTATTCTTTTTGTCTCTTCAATCAATTGCAAAAGAACAAATAAAAGAATAACTAATGAAAAGATGCCTTTACTAAGAAGATTTCCAATCTTGGGGAGTTGAGTGGTTTTGACATCAATAGATTATTGTTTTGAGCTCGAGGTAGGAGTGGGGACTTTAACGCTCGAATGACTTTGATTGGGTCAGTGTGTTTTTGAGTTGCAGAAATTAATCGTAAAGGCTTAGTTGCCCTTTAAAGCAGCATAAAGTAAACTTATGTGTGTTTGTGGTTTAAGATGTTTACCACTGCGGCACGCCGAAAAGAATATGTTGAAAATATTTTTATACGCAATTAAAAAGCTGCTTGTTGTTGTCAGATTTGCTTACAAAGCGCACACGCTACTCTAAACACTTGTTTACTTTATATTTTCAACAGCTTCTTCTTAATGTCTGTGTACAACATAATTGCTACATTATAAGCCAGCAGCGATCTGCCAACAGACGCATACATGTCTAACTACTTTGTTGTTGTTCTTTTGCTCCTTTCATTCTTAGAGTTTTTTTTTCAGACTAATTTTAAAGGTAAATCTTTATTTAAAAGCTACAAGCAAGCCAAGGTGCAAGACGTCTTAAGCTTCAGCGCCAACTCATGCCGCTGCAGCAAGTCAAAGCCGGCGTAAAAGAGTGGCATGCAACCGCCACTTACAGGCATTTGCACAATCAGCTTCTGGCTGCTTGACTCCTTGACTACGCGCTAATTTCCGGTGCATATCCGTTGTGGCGGCTAAAGTGTTGCGCATACGCCTCGCCGACTCTGCACCCACAAAGGATTTGCAAGAGGCTAAGACATAGCGCAGCACTGCGCGGTTAACGGCACTTTTGGCATTAAATAAACTGAGAGTTATTTTCAATTTTTGCATTTTTGCAAATTTTTTTGCAACAGTTTGTTTAAATTGTAATAAGCAGACAGTTGACGATGTCATCAAAACGTTTACCCAGTCCGCTGCTGCTCATCGAAACTGATTGTCCAAATGTTGACTAATGGTCAGGCTAAGTGGTGCTCAGCCAGCAGCAACGTGTCGTGTGGCACGAGAACACTGCGCGGCCACATAGGAAAACTCTTGCTTATGTGTTCGTGTTCGTGTGTGCTTGTGTAGGTGGCTGCAACAAGTGACACTTGTCAGCGCTAAGAGCCCAACCGTTTTACCGCATCTTTTTTTTTGCATATTTTTCCATTTTTTGTGCTTTTTATGCCTCACTACCTGGTTGGTTTGCTGATTGTTGGGTTGTTTGGAGCGCCAACGAAACTTGTGAACTAAAATGAAATCACGGTAAATTAAGCAGAAATCAAAAACTTTCTCCTGCGTTCCAAAGTCGCTTGCTGCCAGCAACTATCTGTGTTAACACACACACTGCACAGTCGCCGCTTGCTACCCTAACACAATTTGCTCATTCCCGCCTAGTACAACGTACCTGTGAAATTACTAAGCTTGCATTCGTATGTACATGCATGTGTACATGTGTGCACTCTGACAATACGGTACCAGTTATCAAAGCATCTGGTTTTTGACTGCGACGCTGACGATGATAAAGTCAATGGCAAAGTTGCCGAAAATGTTGCATGCCACTACAGAAAACCGGTTGGCCGGGGGCACTTAAAACGACGACATCAGCGGTACAACTATGGCAATTGATGACTGATGTTCATATGTACGAGTTTGCATGTGGAGTGTGTTGTGTTTTTTGCTTCATTCACTTTTGCTAAACTAAATTTGAATTTCGAGTGAAGCGATCGAGCGAGTCCAAGGTAAAATGTGTATTAAGTGCAAGTGCTTCGTAATGATTACGACTTTATTTTCAATATATGTATGTAGCTTTATGTGTGCATATATGTATGTATGTGTGTGTGCCTTGCTTTGACCGTTACGCTGACGTAAGACAAGTGGCATGCCACATACAAATTTTCGCTAACCATCACCATTTATATATAGGTATGTAAATATGTATATGCAGAAAACAAGTGTAGTCCTGCGAAAAACATCAAAAATCTGTGTCTCTTTCGTAATTCAATCATTACGAGTAATTTCCGCTACTTATTACGTTTATATTTTATCAACCCACTTTAGAGGTTGAAGATTGACTGGTTAAACCATTTTAGAAATCTGCATTTTCCTTAATTTTTTCTATTTTTATATTACTTGCAATGTAAATAAACAAATTTCTAATCAAAAACAAGAAAAAGCGTTAACTTTGGTTGCACCGTAGCTATAATACCCTTCACAAAAAAAAAAAAATATCTGCAAGAACTTGATTTCGATCGTTCAGTTTGTATGGCAGCTATACGCTATAAAGGTCCCATGGGCGTGGCTAAATCGACTGAGCTCGTCACGCTGATTGTTATGTATCACAAACTTCGTGTGAAACTTAATATACCCTGTCCTGGTTATTAATATCTACATATTTTGTATTGTGTAATTTTTAGGTTAGGTTAGAAAAGTTTCATAAGTATTGTATAATAAAACTTTTTGTTACATATTATGAGCCGTAATCTTAGAACACGATTATGCTGTCTTCAAATTTCCTTCATTGCATCCGCTCTAATCTAAAAGAATTTACTCGCCTAAATACATAAGTAGTTTCATGGAGAGTAAAAGATTTTTGAACAAACGAAATTCTAAACAAAAAATTTTATAAAATATTGATAAACGTACCAGATAAGGCATATATACATACTACATACATATATAAAGATTTGGTAAAATATGCGCAGTTCTTAGTTAGAATTTAGTAACTGTAATAGGAAGATGCATATTAAGTAGCAGACTGGAAAATAGTCAAGTCATTATTAGTTTTAAGATAAATGTATATGAACTTACTAAATTACAAAAAGTTGCTTATATACACACATGTGTACATACATATACATATATGCATATACATAATTACACTATATAATGCTATGCATACATTTATTTCATTGTACTTCACGAACTAAAAAAATTTAAAAATAATATCAACCGTATTGGTAAAATATTTATGAATATGCGATTTTATGCATCTATGTAAATATGTATATGAGAATATGCACATATATGCCGTCATTTACTTTCGTACGAATTTCTCCACTTTTAACCATTTACCAGATCATAATACGCAAGCCATTGTTGTTGGCTTTTGTTGGCACGTAATTTAATTACAATAGCGGCGCACCACCAAAGTCAACGAGGGCCAAATAAATCACGACGTCACAAAGAGTGTTGGGCATGTAACTGAGAAGTAGTTGTAGCTGTTGTAGAAAGAGGCAGCGTGTGTCGCTTTAATTGGGTTTCAACAACAACAATAGTTTTCGGCAACAGTGTGTTGCACTTTCGCACTTTTGTGGCAAGTGTATGTATTTTGACTCTTATGTGTGTTAGTCGCTGCTTTCACCGCTGGGATGACTTGGGTTGGGCTGGCCTAGTAAAAATTAGTCACTTTGCGGTATACATCACACACACATCTATGAATATTGCCCGTGGTGCCATCAGCAAGCACCAAAAGCCAAATAATTACAAGGCAGCAACAACAACAATTGGTGTTATAAAAATCAGCGCCAAATACGCAGCGGTTATAAATAACACAAACACAAAAGCGTCAGCAAAGCTTATCTTATTTGCGTATCTCGTTGATAGCGGCGCCTAATTTATGAGCATATTGAGCTTGCCACGCAGTGCAACCAAGATTTGTGAGAGTATGAGCTGTCATAGGAGTAAGGTTTAAAAGGCGAATCATTGTGTTCTTAGAGGCGCCGAAATATATACATACCATATATTTATATAGTATACATATATGTATGTATATATGGATATATATGTACACAGCAGCTAATATTATCCAAAAAAGTTGATTTGTGTAATCAATAGGTTTTGATGATGGATTTAAACACTAAATAAATACATGTCTCTATGTCAGCAAGTAGCAAAAAGCCTTCACTTTCACTTAGTTCTGTTATCATGCCGCGGCATCTCGGTGTTGTTACTTACCTCGAATCGAATTTCTTGCCGTCCGTCAGTGTGCCAGTGTAATGCATCGTCAGCATATCACCACTTTTCGACTTTTGTTCGCACACCTCTGGCGTACTGATGACATCCACTTTCAGTTCTTGTGCGCGCACGCTCGACGCCAATACAAGGCACGTTGCAATAAGTACGAATTTCGCCATTTTGCTGTTTTTATTTTATTTAATTTCCAAATTTTTCAACTATATTATCTGTAAAGAAACGAAATTTTATTAATGAAGCTGACAGCAAGAGGGGAATTTTAAATATATTTCTATCAGTAGGTATTACAAAATTTTGAAAATTTATATGATTCAAATTGCTTTTAAAATATTAATAATCCATATCTAGAGCATAATTGTTGTATTATAACTCATAAAATCGCACATTATCAAAAAAGCTTCCTCGTATAAATCACGCTACACTACCAACAACTAGTTGCGTATGCATAGCTAAAACACCAATCCGAGTCGAATCGGTCGCCAATCAGTTGCACTTTTTATGCACACCATCAGCTTGATTTTATTGGAATTGGCCACATTTTGACTCAGTGTAGACGAAACTGCTTATATCATTCCTTTCGTAAAACTGTGCTTTGTATGCAGTTGGTGTCAGAAGGCCCGGATGATGGCCAGCAGTTGCATAATCATTTGCCAAAGTTGGAACCAAAACGTTGAAAAATAGATTACACACCGGCATCGACTGAAAAAGCAATGCAATAACCGGCTCAATAAAAAATCTTATGAAAAACTTACAGGCCTATAGCACAGTATGACAATTGAAAGTAAATGCTGCAAAAAATATTTAAATTATATAGAAAATCGTATTATTGATAAATCTAGTTATCCATGCTAAGCCGTTGAAATATTGGAGCACCCTAATAGGCGCCATAAAAAAGTTTATGAAATATAAGCTTTATGAAGTTAGAAAGTCCACAACATTTGCCTGCTAAACAAGGCTCATCAAAAACAGGATTTTTTAGAAAGTACTTATTTACTACAATACATAAAGCGCAAAATTTCAGTTATAATATACTCGTATACTAGCAACTACTTCTTATAGCAGTTACGCTCAAGGTCTTTCTATATACCTCTATCAATCTTTGCAACAAATATGACCATTTGCAAGTACATACAACTCAATTACAGTCAAATAATTAAAAATAAATTCACAAATTTGGCATTGACAACGCGCCCACGCTGTTTGCATTTGTACTTTACCTTTGAATTATTTTAATATTTCGATTGTTTTCATCCACTGTGCCGCAATGCCGCAGTATATCTAAAATTAAATACAAGCGTGTGTGTATGCATATACCAAAGTTAATGCGCAGAGGCATGACTCTTCATATTCATACGCATACACACAGGTGTTTGCAGTACTTTTCTGCAATTTCGCATTGTATTATGCAATTGCGGTGGCTTTGTGTAGGTAGAGTTTATTGTGAAATTCGATTTTTCTACTTCTCCATCATCTGCATCCACTTCGTTTATATTCAAATGCGGCATTGTACAAATTCAAAGAAAGCCCACAGCGCATGCGCGCCAACTACTGGCCATTTTGGCCGACTGCTGGTGAAATCGCCACTTCAAATGCAGCGCATATCTTTTGGCCTTATTTTTTAATTATGAACTTTTGCCAAAGTGTTACAAGAAATGATGACCACACTCCAATTAATGATGCCTGAGTGGGTGTTGTGTTTAGTCAAATCAGCGGGCATTCAATGGTTGAACCAAATAAGTACTTATTTTAAGAGAAATAGAGACTTAGCAAAAGAAAGTTTTAAAATCGCATAACGCATACGAAACGATCATTTCATGGTAATGTTATGTGAAACTCTGCCAGTGGCATAAAATTTGATTATTTTAATGTCTGGTTGTGCTACAATTGCGCATTCATGGTGCAGAGGTATCCATAACAACCATTAAAGACTTTACTGTTTTATATAAATATTTTTGTATATGTATGTGTGTGTGTACACGAATGTGAAGAAGGCTTGACTTTGTACAGAAAACTTTTAAAAGGTTTAATTAAGCCAAAATGACACCTAAAATCAGACAATTAATTAAGAGGCGAAGAAAGCGTGAAGTGACGAAATAAAAGTGATATAAGTGGTAAAAGAAATTTTTCGGAAATGGTGAGAAACTATGCAATTAAATTTAAGATAAGAAGTCGATGCGGTAATAGCGTGTAAATATGTATGCATATATACACAACTGGCTGAGAGTAGAAAGAATGTTAACAGTTTACGAAGAGCGGCTTATATACCCTGTACAAATAAAAAAGATTCCGACAAGTGAGCAGTTTCTTGGGGAGAAAAGGGGCATGTGCGTGATTTCCGAACGATATCTCAAAAGCTGAGGAACTAGTTCACATACAGACGGATATTGCTAAATCGACTGAGCTCGTCACGCCGATAATTTACATAGCATATATATTTTATGGTGTATCCAAAGAATGCTTTTGGGTGTCACAAACTCTGAGACCAACTTAATACACCTTGTTCAGAAAACGTGGCATATTCTCAAACACATACATACATACATATTTTTCCTATTTTCACGAGCGCATCAGATCTCTTATTCAAGACATGCTTTGAAATCCAATGACTGCCTGTGGAAATTTTATAAAGTAAGAACCTGCCCTCTGATTTCAGTATTGACTCACATTATAAACAAAGACAACTAAATTTGAAAATAAAAATCGAAATATTCTTATTTGCCTTTTTCTTTATACGAGTATGTTTCATCCACATAAAGGTTTATGACCTCAAAAACCACATATTCTCTGCTTCTTTTACTACAAGTATATTTGCTTTCTTTCTTTCATTTTTATTCTACCTTAATTAAAGTAGTTTACTTTATTGTTATTTCTTATTTGGTTGCGCCATTTCCTCTTTCTCTGGTCGATAAATATCTATTCAAAAGAGATCTTTGCTAACAGTTACTCCACGATCACGACAATAAACAACTCACGCACCGCTATGAGAGCTGGAGACTCACACATGTAAATTTAAAAAATATGGCACAAATGTTCTGAGAATAAAGGTTAACGTGTGAGTGGTGGAAACTAAATTAAGCTGTGGTTAATTGAATTGTGGTAGTTACTTTTAAAGTTAACGCTTAGATCTAGGCTTATAATTATCGTCTAAAAAAAAGAAACGTTTCATATTTGAATTTTTTGTACATAAATATATTAATGCTTTGTGCCTTATTGATATTAAAAATCCTTTTTTTACGAAACAAATTTTGTGAAATGAAAACAGAAAAACAATTCTGCAATCAGGCTATTTTTCCAGGCCTAAGTTTAATTTTAGTACTTAATTTTCTAATTGTTGTCAAAGAAGAAAAGTTTCACCTACAAATGATTGAAATAGCACCAATTTAAGTTCCAGTTTCGAAGCTGGGTTCAATCGCAACGACTACTTTAAATTCAGACGCTTCGAAGTATGATATAATAAAGATTATATCCCAATTTTTATTGAAAATAAAATTATTATTTTTTTTTGTTGTTTACGGCAGAAACTAGCTTAAAGTAAAAAGACCACATTGTCTCCATTTTATAATTTTTATATTTTGTATAAGCTAGTTTTCCATACTGTTGTACTTTTGTGAATCAGAAAATGTACTTATCAATAAAAAATTTTACCTAAACAAAAAGTAGGAAATGTAAGGTATATATAGGTGTATTAAATTAATGAGGTTTTCATATTTTTTTCATGCTCCTCTTGAGACTGAACAAATAAACCATCGACTGTGCATGAGATCAGCCGGCAAGAATTCTCGCACTTGTTTGGGAGAGAGCTAAGAGCAACTATTGTTTTTGATAGCCACACAAACATTTTAGCATTTTGTATATATTCTTGATAATTAGGTTGTTTTTTGACTTCATTTCCTTCTTTCTTTAAATGTACTGATAAAATTATTTGCTTTGCTGGCATAAGTATTCATCGGCTACTTTGACTTCTCAGCAACCGCCCAACAACAGATTGTGCTTGTAAAACACTTGCTCTTCTTATCTGTAACACGTTTTATAGGAAGCACAAATTTGTGTACACAGGGATATGCAATGTACAACATGTATGTGTATATATATATATGTACGTATGAATAATGGTACGTGTATGCTTCTAATTTGTTGACTCTAATGTCGATTTGTTTTTTTGCTGTTGTTTTATTAAATTTCACTTTACGCGTGTGATTCAGTGCGCTGGGCGATCGAGGCTCTTTGCGTACTTAGCACTATTCATCATATTTTTTATTATTTTCGATTGGTTAGTTTTTAATCTATAAAAATTATCTCTCTCTATCATTCTTCGCATTTAATTCACGGATATTCCCATAGACTTTTATATACATAACCGAATAACCACGTCATAATTACCTGCCAAGTATTACGGAGTATGCAATTTGAACACCGGCGGAGTATGCGTTAGTGACCCAATAAAGAAAGGAAGTAAGTACTTAGTTATTTTACCAAAGCGAGTGTAAAAATTCACAAAACGCGTACTAAATGCGAACTGTATAAATAATATCACCGATTCGAACGACGAGCAGACCTCAACTGAATGACGATCGTTTTGTGGCATAACGAGCAAAGCTACAAAGTCAACGAATAAACATTATAGTCAACAACAATGTGAAGAAACTCGTTTTACTCGAGGAATGACCACGTATTGAGGAATCGTATGTATATTTGTACATTTTCACTAGTATGCTACGTTAAGATATTTTCTCCATTCAATATAAATTTAAAGAGCGCGACTCTTTTCTCCATAAACATTTGTGCTTGTACGAGAGAGGGCCAAAGAGCATAAAAATCAGGGTTGATTCAATTGATGTTTTTGTACTAATGACTTAAAAGGTGTTTATAATAAATTTAATTATAAACAATATTTGTTTTTGAAGTTAGTCGGGGGGAAGCACCTGAACTATTTAAGTCAGAAAATTCTTAATCACCTTTTGGTTAAGTATAGTAATGTTTTTCTATTTTACTAGATAAATATTATCGCAAATATAATTAGTTGATGACATTAGCCAAAGAATTATTGAATGTGATGTTTACGAGAGAAAAATTACACCTTCGCTGATCATTACATTGTAGAACTATTTGAAATAAAATTGTGGAAGAATTCAAAGACATTAATTTTAGGAGAGTATTATAAACTCAAGATTATTTGAAGCAGAATTCTATGCATAACAAAGTACAATGTTTGTAATTAGTGCACAATATTGATATTTATATAGAACCGTAGAGAGAAACCGGGGCCAGGATGCGAGGCCCGCATCTTATCCCTCAAATTATTGATATTATATTTTTTTTATTTTGAGAAAAATTTAAAACATGAAATTCAATTTTTGTTATGAAATTACTGTAATTCATATTGTAGTGAATTGTTAGAAAAAAATATGCAAACGATTGGTCCAGGGCATCGGGCTGCCTGCGAACTCCAGGCCCTGGATCTTCACTCTCTCGCTTGCAGTGTATCTATCTTTGTTTATTATTTATGAGAGCTAATTGATCGAGCTAAAAAATGTCATCAGCTGTTAATTATTTGTGAGCGTCAGAACTGAGAAAAGAAAATTCATCAAAAGCGTACAATTTCACTGTGTTGTAAGAAAACCTTTGTCCTACCTGATTTTATGACATCAGGACCTAGGAATTTCTCTATCAAAGCTAAAAAAGTAACGGAAGTATATATTGCTATCATTACAGATCCTCACATAACTGCGGGCTTAAACTTTCAAGCGTTTAGAGTTTTGTTGGAACTAGCCATATATGAGACGTATGAGAGGAAGATGTCTACCACAACAAATAATGTTTCTATCATTTTCGATATTATCTCTATTAGGACACAACTCTTATATGATATAGATACATATATAATATAACCGGACAGCAGCATACTGTTTGCGTCCAGAGACTTGACTGAAGACCCTATTAATGTGAAGACATCTTACATATCTAATTGAGGTCTGATTTTTCTGATTTGAATTTTCAAAACACTTTTCATTAGGAAACTTTTTATTACTATACTTTATTAGACCTACTTCTAAAAATAAATCGGTTTGATTATGCTACACAAAATTTTGCACATTTTACCGTTACGGATCTTTAAACGTTCTGAACTACCCAGCATTAGTACACATCTAAGTAGCCGTACCTTTATTCTTATAACTTTGCACAATTTATTTATTCTTATTTAGTTAGTTTGATAGTTTGGTTGGAGTTATTTTGGTGATATGTATTATTCTCTCAATTGTTGATAATTAAGCACTTTTAAAATGATGCTTTATGATGTTTTCATTTTCTTTTATGTAATTATCTTAATATTCATACGTAATTAAATTGAAGCACACGTCACAAGTTACCAACAAAAAAAAATGTCAAATCCACACAATTGCGAAGATGGCCAAACAACGACTAAAGCACACTGTTGCATATTGTCTATTGTTTGGCCGTGAATTTGCCGACGAAAGCTTTTCTATGTGTGTGAGCCCAAAGTCTTGTGTTGCTAGCAACATGTTGCTATACACACCCTGCGGGATACGCTTATGTGCCGCTATTAAAATAAACTCCGCCCACTCGGACATGCGCCCTTCTAAGCGGGATAATAGTACATACATACATACATACATTCATTCCTACTTCATACAAAGACTCATAAAATTTAAATCAGTCGAGGCAATAATGATTTTTATTGTATTAAAAATGTATAACATTGTCTAAAGAATAAGAAATTAAATTTAGAAATAAGTTAAAATTGTGAGTTCGTAAACGAATCATACAAAGGTTTGTGATGATTTCTTGTAATTTAAATTAGGTACTTTTCGAGAATTTTAAACTAGAAAAATACTCCCTAAAGTATTCATAAGCCATTATTGTCAGGAGTATAAGTCAAGCATCATGCGAAGAATAAATAAGAAATTTAGAATATATATAGTGCCTTAGAGCTCTATTTTTGTATTGAATATTTGAGTTAAAAGTTGAGATACTGTAGGTGATAAAAAAATGCTTACATGTTTAGAAATAAAAAATTGAATTTAAAATTTTTCCACTAAACCCAAAGAATTTTCTTTCTGTTTTGTCAGTTTCGAAATTGAATTTTTTTATTTGATTAAGATCGATCATAAAAAGTTCAAGCACAGAAATGTTCAACCAACTTTTTTCAAAATTTTAGGTATATATACATTATGGTTGCAATGCATATATAAAGTATAACTTTTTGTAATACTTAAATAAGGAGAACTTCAAATTTTTAAAATAAATAATGTTTCTATACTTTTTTACAAGTTTAATAAAATTTTTCGTTTTGATTTCATATTATAAAATAAAAATTTAATTACCTCATAAGAAGTTTAAGGGCCGGAATACCGGCTTAGAAGCTCGAATTTTGGGCTCTTTTTCGAACCCGATAAAAAAAAGAACAACAAATATTTTACTATACACTTTTTTATATGTTTTTTTATTGATATTTAAACAGTAAAAATCATTTATAATATTAAAAAAAAAATTCAAAAAATTCCAGGGCGGCAAAGTGGGGACTGATGAAAAAATGGCGTGTCAGGATAACATGACTACCAGTAACTTGACATGGAATTTGTTGAGTGATCCTTAAAAAGTAAGGATGTAGTTATAGCACTACTAGAGGATTTTGGAAGAAAAGAACATTTTATTTGGAGTTCGGAATTTTTCAACAATAAAAATTTTTTTTATACAAAAATCCTCTCGTTTTGGGATATAATGTATAAAGAAGCTCTGTATAACATTTCAAATTAATTGATTGAGTGAAACTTTAGATATCATGCACCCCGTTTCTAAAAAAACTAGTTCAGAGTAAAACGAAATTAAAGCTGGCACCGAGCTTTCGGTCGGCTTTGTCGGCGTATCACAAAATGAGCTGTGACTACGAAAATAACTGAAATTTCCAAAAAAAATTTTAGGGACATATTCTTAAAGAGTTATACTATAAAAATATGCAAAAAAAAAATCGATTTTTTTTAATTTCTAAACCAGAATACCCCCTTAACTTGTTTTAAGTGGTTAATGGATTTATGACACATTTTCGATAATTTCGAAAAAGCCAAGCCATTAATTGTAAATTGGTATTAGATGATATTAGCACGGAATTATTAGTTATTTGTAAACTGCTGTAATTGGCTTGACAGAACAGACAATAGAAATCGATTTTAAATTTTCTCCGAACAACCACTAAGTCAAGAAATCAGCTTATCTACTGTTGTATCTAAATTTTTTAACGACTACAAATAAATATACCGAAAAAGTACCGACGTGCGTGTTTCCTGAAAACAGTACTAAAGCACGTACTTATAATTTGTATGACTATTTACAAATACAGTTTTCTTACAGTTGATTTTATTGACCAATATTCTTCTCCCATTTGATCAGTTAATTGCCCCAAAACGATAACTGAAGCGCTGGCGAAGCATTCTGAAAACGCCCATAAATAAAGTTTTTTGTTAAATTTATATCTAACAAGTATGTGCTCACTTACACATGAGTACGTAGTAATAGATTAGAAATAAGTTGAAAAGCAAGCTTTGATTTCAAAAAAATTTTACTATTCGAATAATTCATTGACCGCACCTCAGAGAAGACACAGTGATCGATGCTCGTTTTTTATTTTGTTTTAAATTTAGACAATATAAAATATATAGTAAATGTATTAGTTTACATGGTTGTGCAATTTCACCTTTGGACAATTACGCGCCTCACTAATCACATTCAAATTCGGAAGCTGTGTGTGCTTTCAGGTGCGATTTGCCCAATTACCGCAGTGATCAAAATATTTCGCTGAAACAGTCTAGAATTTGCAATGTTAAGTAGCGAATCGTAACGCGGCGAACACCATTCGATCTACAATAATATTATATAAAATAAGAAGCAAAAAGTGTGTCTAAAATATAAACCAAATAATGATTGCAAAAAAAAACCAAAATAATAATAATAAAAGATTAATTTCAAATATTATTGTGCAACCGAAAAAGTGAAAATAGCGATTTTTGGTCTTTAAATTATAAAATTTTTATGTTTTTGCTTCAAAAGCGTTTCATTAAATTCTGTGAAATTGAAACAAATTGTGATTTTTTTTTTATAAAAATAGTGCAAAATAAGTCTATAATCATATTTTGAATGATATTCATGGCGCCTGAAAAACAATTTAAATAAATTTACATAACGGAATTAGTTTTAAGCTACACCATTTCAATAAGTTATTTCGCAGTAGAAATCATCACATGAAAAAAAAGAAACAAAGAAACTTTGGTATCCATTGTATGCTTTTTCGCTATACGGTTTCCAGTTTTAATAGTTTGAGTGTGCCTTCTGTACACATATTTTCATTTTTGTTACTTTGCTTGAAGTTCTTGCCTTAGAGCCAAAAAACAAAAAAACACATAAGAAATAGTAGATAGGATAGTTTGGTTTTAATATTTGGAGAAGCATATGAATTATGCAGGAACCCGATTTCCCGAGCTATTCATTATTTTGTCAGATAGGAGGACGAATTTTAATCAGCATTCGAAATCTGGCACATAATTTGATTTTTGAGTAAAATTATTTAGAGAATTAAAATAAATTTTTTACTTTTGAAAAATACCGTTATATTTGAGATACATTCATTGTTTTCGAGAGTAAAGCCCTAAAAAATGAAACTTTTAGGGAGTTATATCTACTAGCAAGACAGAAACCCAGTTTTTTGTGAATTGTGAGTCATCATACTAAAAGAGTACTGCACGGCTCATTTTGAAAAACTTTGAATTTTCTTGGTTTTATAGTCGATCCTCAGGAGAACCTCCGAAAATAGGTGTCCGGCAGTGAAAAAGAAAATTTCTCAGATTCAGAAAATAAAAAAAATAATTCTTAAAAAAATAAAAATTTTGAAATGACAAATTTCCAAAGAAAAAATAAGATTTTGAGAGTAGCTTAAAAGATCGATATTATTATGAAACATTTCATTTCTTTGATCATTACTTGACAAATATATCTAAGAAGAACGTGTAGATGATCGATTCAGCCGTTCTGAAAACAGCTTTTCAAGAAAAACGGGCTTTAAGAGGTTACATAGGTCTTAAAACTTCAAAAAATTAATTTTTTTGATACTTTTTTATAAAAGTACAAAGTGTCAGGAATATTTTCCCCAAATTTCAAGTCGATCGAGATGAAACTGTAGAAATTAGAGAGTTTTATAATCCGCCCTCTTTGTCATGGCTTGACCGATAGCGACAGGCTTCAAACTCGTTTTTCTTAAAACCATTTTATCGAAATCGGTAGTAAAAATTTCTCAACGACTATTGAAGCGATCGATTTTAAGTTCAGATAAAAATTGAAAAAGTTATCATGACTACCGCAAAAGCACTTTTTTGTGGACGGTCTACTTCACGACACTGCCAACGGCCTTAACTTATACTATTTTTCATCAAATGTTGTCCACATATTGTAATGTAATATGTAAACAAAATAAATTGTATACTTTATTTAGTATCTTTAAAAAAAATTAGAGGAAATAAGCTTTTTTTTTGCTTTCAAGACCTATGTGTTGCGAATGTACATACTATATATACATTCGAAATGCAAAATATATTATATGCAAAACTTAAAAATCGATTACTTGAAAATCACATATAACACCTTAATTAAGTGTATAAAACATAGTAATCTTATTCTATTACAGAATCATTCCTTTTCCTTTCCTACAAAATTTCGAAATTTTATTATACTTTTTTTGGGTGGCATAAAATCGCAATTATTCCAAATTATTCAAGATCAAAAAAACTGACCAAATTTGTATAAATTAATAAATCAATTATTCAAAGAACTCAACCTGTTGACTAAACATTCTTAATTAACGTCAATAACACCGTTGTATATTAAATATTGAACTTCGAAGTGTTTCAAGTATTGCGAAAAAATTTGTTTAAGTTTTGATTCAAGACTTTACGTGCCGAAAAAAATCCATGAGAACACATAAACCTTCAAAAATGAGCATGCAAAATAAAAACATAACTGCAAATTGTTGTCTCAAAGGAATAACAAACCCCGCTTATGAGCCAGAACCAGGATATGCTTGGGATGGTTGTATGTCGTCAGCCAATAGGCATCCAGGGTGCAACAACAATATAGTACTTCCGAACAACAACAATAATAATGGAATCAGCAGTGGCATTGGTGCCATATTAAATGATTGCACAACAAAATGGTAAGTAGCAACATGTTTAGCAACATTTTCTTGAAGGTCGCTATAATTGAATAGAAACGCTAGCTTTTGAAGCTTTTCACATTTACTGTGGCACATAATTTTTTACGTAAGTTTTGAAAGTTTGTAAGTCAAGCTTTTAAAAGTTTTAAGTCTAAGTTTAAGTCCTTTAGAATCCTTAAGTTTAAATTTAAGCGCTTTGTAGCTGCACAACCAGCTGCAATGATAGATAAATGTGTTTGAGCTTTTGGAGTGTGTTCCTTGTGGACAATCAATTAAATAAATTATCAACAGCAACTTCAGAACATAATATATAAAGTAATTTATATTTGATTGCACACAACTTTTATATACGAAATCATTTAAGTCAAGTTTAAGTCCTATATCTATTGAAATATAGTACTTCCGTTCTTACACTATTTGCTTCCGTTTTGACGTAAAAGGAATTATCGCTTTTTAGCTCTCAGAAAATGCGCCCTTAAAAATGTATTATCAGAGAACGTAAATGAATTCATTAACATGCTCTGGTATTATTTTCTTACCATTTCACTACTCGTCGCTAGATGTCGCCCCACATTATTTTGTTAAGAAATTCTTATTTGACACTTTCATCGCAGTCATCGCTGTATTCTCATATTCACCATCCACTCCATTTCTTCTATCATTCGTATTGACAGCTCCAATATTCTGCTCGCGCTGGCCGAACTGCCAATGCTCCAATGGCAATTTTGACGTCGCAGCGAACGGTTGTGTCTTGTTTCCGTCGAGTTGTAGAGGGGTTAAAGCACAGCTAAGTGGCCAATTTGTTGTACTGAGTCAGAGAACACATTTTCCAATTGAATAAAATAGCGCTTAAAGTGAATTAATTAAAGAAATCTTCGAATAATAAACGGAAACAACGAATACGTGCTCACAGCCAAGGCGGTATTATACGCTCTTAATAACCATACAAAGAATAAAAGCAAACGAAATCAAGTGAGGAAAAAAAATCGCTGAAGAAAAATCATTAGCGAGAAGGTGAACAAGCAAATTATTGATTTTCCGTGACGAAACAGCAGAATAAAGAGAACTTAAGAGTGTCAGCTGAGGTGAAAGACGACAGTGTTAAAAAGAGCGAAAAAAACACATTTTGTTTTAACAAAAATATTGAAAAATAACACAAAAATTGCTAATTCACAACAACAAAAAATAAAACGGTGTTTGTTCTTATTGTTGTGTCGCAGCAGCAGTGAAGTAGTAAAAATATATGTAAAGAGGCTCCCAAACAGCCGCTGAACATAAAAAATTACAAGTGTGCGAGAAATTTAAGAGCTAAGCGGCGATTTTTGCAGCGGAAGTGCATTTACATTCAGGTCACGCGTAACGCTCACATACTCACATACGCACCCGACTGCCGTTAGAAGGGAGTTGCAACAGGAGCAAAGGCGAAGAAGGAACTGATAAACCAATAACAAAAACACCAATACAGGTGAGTTCTATTGTGTACGTGGAGGCGCTATGCACGAACGAGTCACTTAGTTACTTTGGTGCAACTTGGTTGCAGCCTCCTCTTTGCCCGCATGCTCTGTGCCGCAAAGGACATTCGTAACTGCTGAATTGACGGTTGTTGTTGTTGTTGTGCAGTTACGCTTGCTCCGCCTGCGTGGCTAGGACTGCAGCGTTTGTGCCTCTCCTTGAATAATAAAACATACATACATAGTACGTGCCCACAAATTGTGCTTGAATATTTGTATGCAAGTACAAATGTATGTATGTGTGTGCGTATAATTTTCATATTAGCGTTTCTCTCTTTGCTTCTGTGGCATTATCAACACATAACATACCATCACCTTATATTATCATCACTTTGTTGCACATCGTCTAACACATTTACATATATAAATCAACTTTTTATTCATTCACCGCCAAGATTTGCATTACTCAGCCCTATCTAGTATCCCTATGTAGTACAAGTATGTAGGTAGTATTCTATGTATATTCGTATCATTCATCTACACATGTCTATGTTGCCACCGACAGGCATTTACAACTGAGATAGCTTGTCGCTTTTAGTTTTACTGTCGCTTCTGCTCTTCTTTTGCTGCCACAACTATTAATTAAGTATGCAGTAATACATCTTAACCGTCATCATTGCATTTACCTTCAACTTTGAACCGTTTTTGCCCTACGCACATACATCAACATGCTGTTTTCCGCCCTTACCAGTAGGTGTTTTCTTCTTAACTAATTTGCGTATCTAAGTTGTTTCTGCTTTTTTTATATCACTCAATGCCATAATCTTACCTGGCCACAAAAAATTACCTCATTTTGCACATTACACCGCATCGTTTTTGTTGTTCATATTCTTTTATATATCTTTTTGAATCTAATTCTCTTAATAGGATTCCATTGCGGTTCATATTTATTATGGAAATCCTTTTATAAGGTTTTTATTTTCTCTCTTCTCGTGGTTCCTTTGTGAAGTTGTTTTGTTTATTTGGTGTATGAAATATTTAAGATTTCGATAAACAAAAACTAAAACTCTTGCTCTTGAAAAAAATATTTGTCATTAAATTTGTATTTTTAAATTATATTTTCTCTAGACGTTAGTATTAAATATCCAATTTAGAACACAAATAAACTTGCCTTAGGTCTAGGCTTATAATATTTACCTTTTATTGAAAACATCCCACAATATCTCTTAAGCGGTTATATCCACTTGTGAATTACAAAAAAAAAATGTTTTGTATATACATATATATATATTTGAGAATATTATCAAAAAATTTGAAGTTGATTTACCAATTTTTCTCAAAACGCTGTTTTCAGAGTCAGTCAGGAAAGTTTCTACTAAATGGCTGGATCAATCGATTTGAAAAATCGACATTGGTTTCGGGAGAAACCCGTTTTGTTAGAAATTTAACGAGTACTTTGATCATTACCTGAATTCATCTCTAATAATAATTTTTTTTTTGGTTTTTGTATTTGAGATAATTCTAAGCAGAAAAATCATCCTTACCGCCAGACACCTTTTTTCGAAGGACTTTACTTTTCAATTCTTTGTTATAAATTGTTTTCTTTCTTCAGTAAAAAATTTTAGCTAATCTCTGTATTCATATAAACTAAAAATTCATATAAACTAATGTTCAGAAAAAGATTGAATACATTTTGGTATATTATTTGTGCAAATAAAAAGTGTTTGTATGTCAGTATAAATATATATGCATACACAATACCTGTATGTTCCACTGATTGCAAACACTAATAACTTTAATTATGCCTTCAAGTACGTATCACACGAATAACAGTATAGTTAAACACTCAAAATTCACATTTTCAAAGTAATTAGAGATTATGTGTAAAAAATTATACAAATAAAAATCATATTGCTGTAATGTATACAATTAAAATTACACTGGATATTTTATTAATTTTTTGTTATGACTACAATACTATAAACAAGCTTTTGATAGTTTTTAGAGTCACTACAAATAAAACTATTCTCAAAAAATAAGTTTCATATTTTTTACTAAATAAAAATTGAAATAAGATATGTAACAGTTTAAACGCTTATATAAATTACTGTCGAGTTCTTTTTTCGACCTCTAGCCAATCCTCATCCCACCGCTGGGTCATTATTGCTTTTGGTGCCTGGTGCCTGCTGCCCAGCGCTTGGCGGTTGGTGGCAGTGTCTCCAGTCAGGCGGCCGCGTTTGTGTTTCGCGTGCCAGTCGCTCGCATGATGCTCATAGGGTTTGAAGAGTAAGCAAGAAAAATAAAATAGTTAAAAACAACAAGGAAAAAACTTTAGAGCAGGTGCTCGCGAAGGGCTAAACATGTTGTTACACAAAACACCAACAATATACAACCCCTACAACATGTCGTTCTGCCGATTGAAATCGTCTGACAATCGCTTTGTACTCGTTTCCAAAGCGCTGTAATGACGTAATACGCTGAGTGTTTCCACTAGCGTAGCGCTGTGAGAATTTCGATTTCTGATAGCGATTGTGTTGGTGTTGAAATGACAGTTGTTTTGGTGTCACTGTAGTTGGAGTTGTGGGTTAGTAACTTTTGTCCAGCCGAAAAATACTATACACATATCCATATAGGTGTAATAAGTAGACTGGCTGGCATAAAATGTACTAAACAATATTATTAAGATTTCGGCGAGCTGTTTGGGCTCCATAATTAATTGTCCTTTCTTACTCTCTAACTCGATTCATTACTCTCTATGATTGGTCGCATTTTTTGAAAAAGAAAATCCAAATAAAAGTAGAATGTTGTTTGCCATTTAAGCTACGAATTTGGCAGTAAAACTTTTATATTTAATTGTGTGCCTATGTCCATGTATAACTACATATACTATATATGTGTGCACTGATTTTCCGCTTTATATAATTCTTTCTTAGTTTCTTAACAGGTCATCTGAGCAGTTCATTGCTAGCAGGCAGGTCGTCTGAAGACGTTGCTTGGCAAAGTTCGGTGCTCGTTTTTTCAACTGTCGCTTAGCTGACCTTTGTACATCGAAATTAAGTTTATGAGAAAATTATTATTTTCGGTTTGTTTGCACCTGATTCTACCCACAAAATGTGTTTGTAACGCATTTGTTTGAAACATTTTTATTTATGATTTATTTTTGTATTTTTATGATACTTTAAAACTGAGTGCGCCGCCTCTAGATGTTAAATATTTTTTTTTCCAAAAAATTTTTTTTTTCCAAATTTAATTTTTTGTATAATCTACAGATTTTACACCCAGGCTAAGCAAAAATTTTTCCGCTGCACCCTAATGTACGTATACCCTTATATATAATATATGCGGAAATATTAACATCTATGGGTCTTAAGAAATTGAGGCTACGTCTCTCAATATAAGTAATGCAACTTGTTTGTAATATATTTATATACCTTGAACTGAATATATTAAGTTTGTCACGAAGTTTGTAACACTCAAAAGGAAACTTCGGAGACCCCATAAAATATATATAAATGATCAGCGGGACGAGCTGAGTCAATTCAGCTATACCCGTCCGCTTATAAGCGAACTTGTTTTTCAGTTTACGAGATATCGATCTGAAATTTTGCACATGTCCTTTTCTTCCCAAGAAACAGCTCATTTGTCGGAACTGCCGACATCGAACTACTATAATATATACTAGTAATAGTTGCCATACAAACTGACCGATCCAAATCCGGTTGTTTTATGGAAACATTTTTTATTTGTAAAAAGCGTAGAAAGCAACCGAAGTTAACGTTTTTTTTGTTTCATATATTTATGTTTATGACCTGGCTATTCCCTTCGCAGCATTCACTACAACTCCTGCGACGTGTAGGTTTTTTCGTATTTTATTTAATATTTTACATTTTACATTTATGTTATAGTATATGTCTATTAGTTAAGACTTAGATAAGCTTTACATTTGTTTTGCAATGTGGTGCTCTATATATACATATGTATTAAGAAATGTATAAGGAGTTGAACTTATTGTTTTCAGAAAATTCTTAGATTGCGGTATGGCTAAAATCTTGCTTCTATGAATTGCTTACATAACCTCAAGCGAGCGGTCAATTTATCATTCATGTGGTCCAGATATGCACATATACTTCACAATATCCGCTTAATAGCTTAAAGAAATATAAATTGACGCAACGAAAGATATTATCTTGTTGCAGTGCTGCGCTGCGCTGCAAAGCAGGATATGAAACCCTTCCTTTTTAAAATTGCAACCTGGAACATTCAATATAAATGACAAGCGGAGTATTTTCGCTTAAACAATGCAAGAGCAAGAGAGCAAACAATAAGTACTTATATGTAAGTGTGTATGTGTTGGTATCTGGTGGCATTCACACACGTTTGCTGCATGAATCCCGTCAAGCAGAGTCACTCAATGCTTCGTGGTAACCTTGCACAGCGCTTTGATAGACGTTTACCCACATAATCCTGGCTATACAAAAATCGCCACGTCCACTAGCCGGCAGCGCAGCAACGCCAAACGTGCGGAATGCTCTACTTGGTCAGTTATGTAGTATGTTGCAACAACATACCTACAGCTCGGTATAGTGTTGTTGGGCATATCTAAGACTCTTGCATTGTATACCTTTGTCAGCAGGAACTTCGCAGCTTCGCTTTCTGCTCTCAAAATGTGTGCGCTTGGTATATTTGTACTTACGAGTATGTTGTTTGTCAGTTTGCTGGTTCAGAAGGCAAGTGTTTTGCCAAGCTCGATGGTGGATTTTATTCTGTGCTTTTTTGCACACTATCTTCTGCTCCCAGCATGCTTCGGGTATAATTTCACACTTTTTCACTCACAATTGCCACTGCTTCATGCATAGCTTAATTCATATCACTTTGCAATACTGGTAACACTGACGCATCTGCATTGGTTTGATAAGACGCATTAATACTAGCCCTTTTCGCCTCACTGCACGTACACACAGAGAGCAGAAAGTGTGCAGTTTAATTCCATGACAGTTTGTTTACAGTTGTTCAG